GGGCTACGGTCGGGAGCCTTTGGGAGGGGCGAGGGGAAGGGAGGGGGAAGGGGGAGAGGAGGAGATGGAGGAGGAGAAAAAGGAGGAGGAGGAGGAGGAGGAGGAGGAGGAGGAGGAGGCGGAAGAGGAGGAGGAGGAGGAGGGAGGACGGAGGAGAGGAGGAGGAGGAGGAGGAGGAGAGGAGGAGGAGGGGAGGAGGAGGAGGAGGAGGAGGAGAGGGAGGAGGAAGGAGAGGAGGAGGAGGAGGAGGAGAGAGAGGAGGAGGGGGGTTAGGGGAGGAGGGGGGCGAGGAGGAGGGGGAGGAGAAGGAAGAAGGAAGGAGGAGGAGGAGGAGGAGAGAGGAGGGGGAGGGGAGGGGACGGGAGGGGGGGGGGGGGGGAGAGAAAATGAGGAGAGGAGGGAGGAGGAGGAGGAGAGGAGGAGGGAAACGAAGAGGAGGAGGGGGAGGAAGGAGGAGGAGGAGGAAAGGGGAGAGGATAAGGGAGGAGGGAGGAAGGAGGAAGGAGGAGGAGGAGCAGAGGGACGAGGCGAAGGAAGAGGTGGAGGAGGATGAAGGAGCGGAGGAGGAGGCGGAGCGCGGAGGATGCGGAGAAGGAGAGGTTGCGGAGGCGGAGGCGATGAGAAGAGGAGGTGGGAATGAGAAGGAGAGGAGGAGGAGGAGGAGGAGGAGGAGGAGGAGGAGGAGGAGGAGGAGGAGGAGGAGGAGGACGAGGAGGAGGAGGAGGAGATCGATGGAGGGAGGAGGAGGAGGAGGAGGAAGAGGAGATAGAGGGCGGAGAAGGAGGACGATATGAAGGGAGGAGGAGGAGGATTTTTTCCCAACCGCGTGCAATCAGCCCAGCGACGCGTCGCCGCGCCCGCCGCCCCGGCGCGGCGCCCCGCGCGCCCGGCCGGCGGGCGAGCCCGGCCGGCACGACACGGGGAAAAACGACGGGGGCCCCAGAAAGAGGGCAGCAAGGCGCCGCCTTTAACGAAAAAGACGGCGCCGCGCCCCCCGCCCCCAGGGGCCCAGGACCGGACCCCAGGACCGAAGAAAGGACCGGACCCCAGGACCGAACCAAAACAAAAAAAAAGGCGGCACGACACGACACGACACGACGGGGAACGAAACGGACACGACCGACACGCACGACACGACACGGACGAACGACACGACAAAGACGAACCGCCGGTCCCGCCCCAGGGCGGCGAGTGCTGGGGGGGACCCAGCACCGCCCTGGGGGAGGCCACGGGGCCAGGCGACCCCCCCGGGGGAAGGAAACCGCACTTTGGCGGCGTCCCCCGGGGCGCGGGGGCTTGTCGCCCCGAGGGCCCGGCGGAGGAGGAGGAGGAGGAGAAGGAGGAGGAGGACGACGACGAGGAGGGGGAGGAGGACGAGGGCGACTACGAGGAGGGCGACGACGACGAGGAGGGAGGGAGGGAGTGAGGGACGGAGGGACAGGAGGAGGAGGAGGAGGAGGAAAAGGAAGAGGAGGAGGAAAAGGAGAAGGAGAAAGAGGAGGAGGAGGAGGAGGAGGAGGAGGAGGAGGAGGAGGAGGAGGAGGAGGAGGAGGAAGGGGGAGAGGAGGGGAAGGGAAGGGAGGGGGAGGAGGGAGGAAGGAGGAGGAGGAGGAGGAGCAGGAGGACGAGGCGAAGGAAGAGGTGGAGGAGGATGAGAAGGAGGAATGGGGGAGGAGAAAGAGGAGGAGGAGGAAAAGGAGGAGGAGGAGGAGGAGGAGGAGGAGGAGGAGGGGGAGGAGGAGGAGGAGGAGGAGGAGGAGGAGGAGGAGGGAGGAGGAGGAGGAAGCAGGAGGAGGGAGGAGGAGAAGCAGGAGGAGGAGGAGGAGGAGGAGGAGGGAGGAGGAGAAGGAGGAGGAGGAGGAGGAGGAGGAGGAGGGGGAGGCGGAGGAGGATCGCAATCCACTGAGGGAGAGAGAGAGAGAGAGAAACAGAAAGAGAGAGAGAGAGAGAGGAAACAAACAACGTCCGAGGTCCAGGCCTCCAAAAACCCTGGGCGAGCCCGTCGAAGGAGATCTTTTTGTCACCCTGGCTGAGGGGGCCGATCCCAGCCAGGGGCCAGCGGCAGGGCTCGCCCAGGCCCAACAACTAATGAGGCTCGCTTCTTCGGAGAGCGGGAGGGGGTCGCGTCGCAGGGCCGCGCGGCCAAACTGTCGAACCCGCTGCTCACCTGACCTGGGGGTTCCACGGGGGCAAGAGCCGAGGAACCCCAAAAGGCGCAGCCCCTCCCTCGTCCCATATCAGCCGCTGGCTAGCGGCGGGGGGTGGGCCGCTTAACCCCGATGGGGGACGCTGCGCACGAACTTCCAGAAACTGGCACGCCCGCGTCCAGAGCCCCGTGCTCCAGCACGCTTGCTGCAGCCTGGCACCGACTGCACAAAAGACAGAACTCGCCAGGGTTAGCGGCGACCTGTGGCCCGACGATAACGATCCAAGGCCCTTTTCGAGAACCAGCCGCCCTGATCGTCGACACCGCCATTGATCCAAGCCTCACTCATGGATAGACGGGCCTCGCGGACGCCACGAAGCCAAGCCAGCCCCGCTCGACGCTCGGCCGCCGTGGCGGGCGTCGGACTGTCCGCCTCGGCCTCCATGCGCCAGCCTGGCCTCTGAAGGTCTCGGTCGAAGTCGGTGTCGTCGCAGCTCGTCGCCATGTGCCGCTACAGCACCCTGAGCCGCACCTTGCCGACGGCTTCGGTGACCTCCTCCTTCTCCTCGTGCTTCTCCAGCTGCCTGCCCTGGTGCCCCTTGGAGCTCCGCGCTCCGAGAGACTCCGAGAGCACGTCGCCGAAGCACACCTGCTCCACGTACTCCTCCAGCTGAATGCCTTGTTTCCCCAAGGAGCTCCGCGGGCCGAGGGGCTCGGAGAGCACGTCGCCGCCGTGCCCGGTGCCCAGCTTGTCGCCAAGAGCCTCGGGCGTGCCGAAGTTCTTCTTCAAGTAATTACTCCTCGTCCTCCAGCTCCTGCTTCTGGCCGCCGATCTCCAGCACCTGCCCCTGGCCGCCGACTTTCTGCGGGACCTCCATGATCTCCGCGTCGTCGCAGCGCGCGGCAGGCACGAACTCGGCCACGCTATCCGAGACCACGCGCTCGCCGTCGACCTCCGGCGCGGTCCCAGTTCTGCCGCCGGCACCGCGGCCCGAGCTCTCCGGCGCCTCGGGCCAGAGCTTGGGCCCCGACGTCGAGTCCGTCAGGACGCGGGCGCCCGCCTTCCTGACCTTCTCGGCGAGGCAGAACTTGGCCCCGCGCCTCCTCCTCCTCCTCCTCCTCCTCCCTCCTCTTCCTCCTCGTCCTCTCCCCCTCCTCCTCCTCGTCCTCCTCCCCTCTCCTCCCCTCCCTCCACCTCCTCCCTCCTCCCCCTCCTCCTCCTCCTCCTCTCCTCCTCCTCCTCCCTCCTCCTCCTCCTCCCCTCCCTCCTCCTCCTCCTCCTCCGCCTGCTGAGTCCGCGCCTCCTGCCCAGTCGGTGGGCATGCTCTCAACCGCCGACCGCTGGGCAGGCAGGCGGCGGCACACGGCGCCCGCGCTCGGCGCCCGCGCCCGCCTCGGGTCGCGGCCTCCCGCGCGCGCGGCGTGCGCAGCGCGTCGGTTTCCAGGGGGCCCCACCGAGGGCGGACCCCCAAGGGCCCCCGACGCGCCCAGCCTCGCGGGCCCCCGCCCGGTGGAGCGCCGAGGCCCTCGGCTGCAAGCGGCGAGCCTCCGGCCGCGCCCCTGCCGCTGCCACCGGTTGAGCTGCAGCACCCCCGCCGACGCGATGACCGTCGCGGGCGCGGCGGCGCAGTGCAAGCCTGTGTTGCGGTGCGCCTTCATCGCTGGCTCCGCCGCCTGCGTCTTGCCTTCCAGCGGACCCGCCAGGGCGCCCTCCAAGATCGGCACCGCAAGGGCCAGCCTGGGCACCAGCTCCCCAACCAGCGCCGCGCCAGGCGCTGCGATGGTGCCCTGCGACTCAGCCAACGCCACGGCGTGGTCCGCAGCGGCCTGGTGCCTTGCCCGCTCCACGGCGAACCGATCCTCCAGCTCCTCGACGCGGCGGTAGGCGGCAGCCGCCCTGCCATTCGCTGCCTGCCGCGCAGCGGCCCGCCGCAGGCGCCGCACAGGCCAGAGAGAGAGCCCCCGGCCGCGGCCTTGTGCTGCTCCGCCGCCTCGAAAAAGCAGCCGTGCAGCCCGCCGCCGCCATCTGCGCCCAGGGCGCACACCCTCGCGCGCGCGCCCGCGCGGCCGAGGGAGCAGCTCTTTAGCCAAAATGGCAACGGAGGAGAAGAAGGAGGAGGAGGAGGAGGAGCACGAGGAGGAGATGGAGGCGGAGTCGGAGGAGGAATGAGGGAGGAAGAGGACGAGGATGAGGATGAGGGGGACGGGGGGCAGATGGACGAGTTTAAGGAGGAGGGAGGCGGAGGGCGGAGGGCGGTTGAGGAGAAGGAGGAAGACGAGGAGGAGGAGGAGGAGGAGGAGGAGGAGGACAGGATGCGGATGAGGACGAGGAAGAGAATGAGGAAGAGGAGGAGCTGGAGGAGGAGGAGGAGGAGGAGGAGGAGGAGGAGGAGAAGGCGGAAAGTTGAAGAGGAAGAGGAGGAGGCGGAAGGAGGAGGAGGAGGAGGAGGAGGAGGGTCATGGAGGAGGAGGAGGAGGAAGAGGAGGGGAAGAGGAGGAAGGGAGGATGAGGAGGATGAGGAGGAGGAGGAGGAGGAGGAGGAGGAGGAGGAGGAGAGGGAGAGGAGGAGGATGAGGAGGAGGAGGACGATGATGAGGAGAAGGAGGAGCAGGAGGATGGAGGAGGAGGAGGAGGAGGAGGGAGGAGGAGGAGGAGCGAAGGAGGAGGAGGAGGCGGAGGAGGAGGAGGAGGAGGAGAGAGGAGGAGGAGGGGAGGAGGGGAGGAGGAGGAGAGGAGGATGAGGAGGATGAGGAGGGGGGAGGAGGAGGAGGAGGAGGGGGAGGAGGAGGAGGAGGAGGAGGAGGAGGAGGAGACGGAGGAAGAGGAGGAGGAGGAAGAGGAGGAGCAGGAGTAGGATGAGGAGGAGGAGGAGGAGGAGGAGCGGAGGAGGAGGATGATGCCCGCGCTGTGACGCGGACGCGTCGGGCTGCGCCCGCCCCCCCCCGCGGGGGCCCGCCCTCCACCTTGGGCAGGGCCCCCGGCCGTGATGAGGCCGACCGCCGACGAGTAGCCGAAGTCGCCGAGCATCACCGCGAAGACGACGAGGGGGGCCCACGACCGGTGGCCCCGCCTCCCACCAGGACCAAGTCCTGGAAGCCCAACGCCGCGCGCTCCTTGGGCCGCAGGCCGTCCGCGTCGAAGATGACGCCCGCGCACTCCGCGCCGCAGCTCAGCACCCTGCCCGCGCGCCCTGCCATGGGGCCCGCAGTGGCGCGCACTCTGGCGCCACGGGGGGGCGGCCGCGCGGCCCCGCCAGCGGCTCCGCCAGCAGGAGGCACCGAAGGCCCCGCACCCAGCTCCGCCGCGGCCACGCCGCCCGCCGCCCCCGTAGCAGCTCCGCCAGCAGCCGCTGGCTCCGCCGCTGACGCGGGTTCCCGCCTCGGACGCCGCCGCGCGCGGCGCGTCAGGGCGTCTGCCCAGCCGTCGGACTCGAGGTCCGACCCGCCCTCGCCGTCGGCGCCGTCGACCGCCATCGCCGCGGCCAGCAGGGTGAGCGCCAGGCCCGCACCAGCACTGCCAGCACCAGCAGTCGTCACGTCGCCGTCGGTCGTATCGTCGCCCCCAGCAGGCGACACGGCACGCCCCGCGGCGCGCCACACCGCCAGGCGGCGGCGGCGGCGCTGCCGCGCCGCCGCGCCGCCTTCGCCGCAGCATGAGCCGCCGCCTGCGAGAAGCCCCCCCGCATCGCCAGCAGCGCCACCACGACCACCACGAGCTTGTTCACCTTCGGCCTGGGCATCAGCGCCCGCAGGCGCCACCCCGGGTCTGGCAATGGCGAAAGCCACCGCGGAGATCGCCGACCGTGTGTGTCACCGCTCCCGCCGTTCGCCTGGGCGCTCCAGCCTTCACCACCGCCTGGACCGCGGCCGCGATGAGCACGGCGCCGTCGGCAGCGGTCAGAGCCCCTCTAGCATCGCCACGGCTAGCCATCGCGGACGACCGAGCCAGGCGAGGCATGCAACCGCTTGAGCCAAAATGGCTACGGAAGCGAAGGAGGAGGAGAAGGAGGAGGAGGGCGAGGAGGAGGAGGAGATGTGGACGAGGAGGAGGAGGAGGAGGAGGAGGAGGAGGAGGAGGAGGAGGGAGGAGGGAGGAAGGACGAGGAGGAGGAGGAGGCCCCCGAGGAGGAGGCCCCCAAGAAGGGCCACGCCACGGAGGAGCGGAGACGAGCACCCCGCGGAAAACGGCGGGCGCGCGCGCGGGCGCGCACCGTCCGCCGAGCGCACGGCGCCGCCGTGGGCGGCGGGCCCTGCGGGGAGCAGCAGACTCCCGCCCCCCTCGCCATCGCTCGGTCGCCCGCTCCCCGTGCATGTGTGCTCGGTGCTTCGCGCGCGCATGTTTCGCAGGGTGGCCTCGGATGCTCTTCGAGGGTCCTTGCCGAGGCCGAATACTTACGTGCACGACAAAAGCTGCGCGCGTCCGAGCGATGCCAAGCCCCAGCTCGCCATCACTCGGACGTCTGCTCCCCGTGCATTGTTGTTCGCTCTCGCGCGCGTATTCCTCGCAAGATATCCTTGCCGAGAAAAGTGCACGCGTCTGAGTCGGGCGTGTAATTTCCGCAGGGTGACCTCACATGCTTCTCGATGGTCCTTGCCGCGAAAAAAAGCTGCACACGTCCGAACGATGCCAAATCCCAGCTCGCCATCGCTCGGACGTCCATTCCCCGTGCATGTTTGTTCGGCTTCGCGCAAACTGACCTCAAAGGCTGCTCCATGGTCGCTGCCGGAGGAAAACATGCACACGTCCGCGTGATGCCAAGCCCGCAGGGGGGGGGCGGGGGGAGGCGGGGGGGGGGGGCAACGGTGAGAGGGGCGGAGCGCTACGCGGACAGGCGGCCGCCCGGGATCCAGGGGGAGGGGCAGGGCGAAGGAGAAGGAAGGGAGACAGGGAGGAGGAGGAGAGGAGGATGAGGAGGAGGAGGAGGAGGAGGAGGAGGAGGGGAGGAGGAGGACGAGGGCGAGGAGGAGGAGGGAGGGCGAGGAGGAGGAGCAGGAGGAGGGCGAGGAGGAGGAGGAGGAGAGCGAGGAGGAGGAGGAGAGCGAGGAGGAGGAGGAGGAGGAGAGGAGGAGGAGGAGGAGGGGAGGAGGAGGAGGAGGAGGAAGGGGTCGGGGGGGGGAGGGAGGGGGAGGAGGAGGAGGAGGAGAGGAGGAGGAGGAGGGTGGAGGGAGGGAGGGAGGGAGGGAGGGGCGAAGGAGGAGGGCGGAGAAGGAAGAGGGTGAAGGAGGAGCGAAGTAGGAGGAGGCGGAGGGCGAAGAAAGAGGGGAGGGAGCAAGGAGGAGGAGGAGGAGGAGGGAGGAGGAGGAGGAGGAGGAGGCAGAGGAGGAGGAGGAGGAGGAGGGGAGGAGGAGGAGGAGGAGGAGGAGGGAGGGGGCGAAGGAGGCGGATGAGAGGGAGAGGAGGGGGGGGGGAGGGGGGGGGACAGCAGGCAGACAGGCAAGCTGCAGGGGGGGGGGGCGGGGGCGGGGCGCACGGCCACGATGCAGGCTGGGGTGGGCCCCTGCCCGTGTCTACGAGACTGCGGGGAGCGGACGGTGCAGAAATGCCATCTGGCGGCGCGCCGACGGGGCTCTCGGGATCGATTTCGAGGGTCGAGGTTTTGCGGGGTTTTCGGTGGTTCTCGGCGGTTTTGAAGCCTCGAGTGCTTTCCGGCAACTGCCCCTCGCCGAGGGCGTTCCCGGAGTGTCCAAATCGTCCCGAACGGCCGAGTCGTGACCCGAAAACCACCAGGCGTCCGAGAGAGGCAAGCCTTCCCAGAAGGCGGCGGAGCTTCTCAGAGGCCCTCCGGCCCAAGAAGCCCTCTGCAGCCTCGAAGAAGGCGCACAAAGCATTTCAGAGGGCCCGAGATCTTCTGAGCCTCTTGGGAAGCCTCACCACCTCTGCTTTCCCCTCTTTCGGTGGCAACTCATGGGAGCCTCCCATACAATCTTGCCGGCTCTTGCGAATCGACGCTAGTCGACGCCAACCGACGCTAAATGGACGCCAGTCGACGCTAACCGACGCTCAATCGGCGATATCTCACCGACTCCCAGACGCTAATAAACGCTAAAGTTATGTCGGGCATGTCCCCCTACAGGCGGCTTTTGGACGAAAGTCGAACAACATTCAAGCATGAACAAAAGAATGGTAGAAAACTCGTCCCCATACGATTTGGTGACTATGTTTGGATATTCCTCCTGTAGAGCGACGTGCCCGACTTAGCGCTAAAGACGGGATTGCGAGGGTGCACCATCGGGAGCGGCCAAGAGGGGGGTGTCCAAGAAGGGGGGGTGCAAATCGTGACGGGCGGCATGTGCGCGGCCCAGCGGGAGGGCCAGGGTCGTAATGAAATCAGAAGAGGCGCCGTAAAATCTGGGGAAATATCGTGACCCCCGCCATGATATCCACCCCCCCCCCTGGTCATCACCCCCCTCTCTTCCGCCCCCCATACCCGGCCCCCACGACCTGCTGCCGAGCCCTCCGAGCGCCTCCCAGAAAGCGGCGCCGCCTGGGCCGTCGCATCCTTCACACGCGGTCTCGCAAGCGGGGCGGGGCCGCGGCCGCGTCTTTCCCGCGGTGGTCGTGCCGCCGGCATCTGTGCACGGATGACGCGGCGACGAACATCAGAACACCTATACTCATGCTCGGGATGCTACAAATTGGCCACGGCAACTGGATTTCTTCTCTCTGCTCCGCAAGGTTGTCATAAGTGTACACGCTGGTGTTCGAGAGACCGTCAACTGCGATGATGTCAGCATTTGTCAATCCAACCCTCGAGGCTGGCAATCCGAGCAACGTTGGATCAAACGGGAAATCTGGTGACGATAGATCGTGCAACCCGTGACCTTCGCAAGGTATAGATGCTGTGGGGAAGTCGTAAGTTGGCTTCTTACTGATATGGAGCTGTTGCCATGTCATGAGGTGACGGTCGACATTGGCATGATGGAAAAAGAATACGGGGTCGTTTGGCGACGTCCACGCATCTGCGAAATCACCATAGATGGGTGCTGTGTCGATGGGATCGGCAAAGCATTTCGGCTTATGCGACTTCCTGCAAATGTTCTTCTGCCCGAGCACATTCACATCACTCCCATTGCTGCACGTGAGGCAACCAATTTTCCATGCTGTGGGAACCCCCACTGCGTTCCTCATGAAGCACGGAATACGCGGCGCGCTGTAATCAGCGTCCCAGACTCCCCCCTAAATAAGTGTGGGCCCATGTATGAACAGTAGGATCTACGCAAGCATACCATCCAACGTATGACTTCTCATTCAAACACACATCCCACATGTTGCTGTTCCACCCTGTGCTGCTTCCGCAAGAATAACGAAACCGTGTGACTCGTGGAGACGGGTTCCCATTCCAAGGCGAACGCAGAAATCCATACGGATTTGTATAGGGGGAGATGTCTGAAGCATTCGCTCTAACCCTCCAGTGGGAAAAGCGTCCATCCTTGATTGCATTTCCTTCTGATTCGTTGCCCTCGGCGCTTCCAAACCACTCCCAAATTTCGCTACTTCTGGGATGAGCGGAGCTCGCTTCCACGTTGTAGTCCCAATATGGGAGGGCTTCGATTCTAGGGTCCACTGATAGTAGTGCTTCCTCAAAGGTCAGTGTCAAAGCTCTGTGGTAAGTAGCAAAGCCTGGACCTAGATGAACACAATCCAAACATCTTGGACATGCCGCTGCTGCCAAATGCCTGGCGACTATATCATCATAGGATATGAACCGTCCTCCATATCGTGCTTGTCCCGCAGGCGATGACGTGTTCTTCAGAATATTCATTGCCAGGAACACGCGCTCACGTGCTTCTGGGCTTAAGCTCCGAATCTCGCGCCGAATGCGACGTGCTGGGATCCCCCGCTGGAAATTCGGAATAAACACGTCTGCACATGCCATGCCCTTCGGTCCATTTGCAGACATGGACCAAGCCAACAATAATAGAAGGGGCATGCTGTGGATACAGCTCTCGCACGAATGTCGCGCAGCAGAAACGTTCACCACATGGGTTTATCTACATGTGCACTGGAAGCGGATTGGGCCGAAGGCATTGAGCCAAAGCGGCTTCAGCCAAAATGCCTTAGCCCCACCAGCCCTCCCCTGCAAGAAACAATCCACAATGCACTTTGCACTAATTTCTGGATCATGCGCGAACGCTCCGCGATCACTTCGCATTTATTCTTGACAGGGACGGCGGGGGGGACCAGCATATTGCGTGGTGCGTGCAAGTCAAGCACCCCTTCCAAAAGGAAATACAAAGTTCACTTTGCCAGGGAAGGCGAGCGGGGGTCGGTATACTCACTGCTGTCAGGCCCACCATGCCTGTGAAAAACAAGTGCGACATGATTGCGGGTGCATACCTACACACCACACAATGCTCGCAAAACCGCCGTCACTTTTAATTGGCTTTTGACAAGGATGGTGGGGGGGAGTCGGCATATTGCCCAATATGGCGCACCTGGTGCGCGGGGCGCACCTGGCATGTACGGCGTACCTCGCGGGCTTCGCGCACTTGGCTGGCGCCTGCATTGTTTCCCGATTTTTGTCGATGGCGGCCCCTCTAGATGCTGAGACCTGGATGCTACTTGTGTAGTGTGAGCGCGGGCGGGAGTGAGCGTGACAGCGTCTGGCGCTCTCGTTGGGAATGTAACCACTGTTCCCTATGAGAAAGCACCCCCCTCTCCACACGACTGGCATCCAACGCGAACCCATGCTCCCCCCACCTCCCCGGTCAAAAAACAATACAAAATACACTCTCCAGATCTGGAGCACACGCGGGCGTCCCACGACCACTTTGCATTGGTTTTTGACAGGGACGGCGGGGGGAGCTTACATTGCTTGCTGCGCGCAAACAAACCATCCATACCAAAACACACTGCAACATAAATATTGCCGCCACTTCTAGAGCACGCGCGGGCGCCCCACGATTACTTCCCATGGTTTTCGGCGCAGAATGCGAGGGGGCCCTCATATCGCTTTCCGTGCGCAGGCCGACGGCCCCTGTCAAAAAAACAACACTAAAGGGGAATTGGGACACACAAATAAGTACACACAAATAAAACTATTCCCCATATTTTCCCATATCTTCTGGGTTTCTGCCTTCCCCCCCACTTCCCATATTTTCCCAGATTTTCCTGGGAGTCGACGATACATTGTGTCTGTGTGTTTTTTCCCCTCCTGAAATACAACAGACGTGTCGTCTCTAGATCTGGAACACGTGCGGGTGCCCCCCGCGACCACATCGCACTGCTTTTTGGACACGGAGGGCGAAGAAGGGCCTCGTACTTGTTTGCCGCGCGCAGGCCAACCATCCAGGTGGAGGCCAGTCCACAATTCGACAAGAAACCCAATCCTCAGGAGCGAAAGAAGGACGTACATGTACATGAATCCACGCTGGTTTCGAGACCACGCATTGCACAAATGTTCGTATAACGCGGCCCGTCTCGCGAATCGAGGGGCCGTGTTCATGTACATAGCTGGGCGCGTACGTCCTTTGTGGGCTCCCTAAATCCTGAGACCCCAGGGGCGTCCATTGTTTTCTAATGTGGGAACGTCACGCGCTCCACAGCAAAAACATCAAAACCCAAGAACACCAAGGCACCCTGGAGGCAAGCAGGGTGTTTCTTGGCATGGGTCTCCACTGCACTTATTTGTTGGGAGGTCGGGTGGGAGTGAACGAGGACGGCTTGTGCCGTGTGGGCAGGAAATGTCTCAATCATTAATCCCTCATGATAAACACCCCCTCTCCCACCCGACCGGCAGCCAACCCGGACACATGAGGACACCAATGACACCCACCCCACTTCCCCTGTAAAGAAACAATGCAACATGCACTGCGCCTCCAAGTCTGGAGCATGTGTGGACGCCCCGCGACCACTTTGCACTTGGTGTTTGACAGGGGCGGCGAGGGTGCTGGCATATTGCCTGCTGCGCGCAAGCCACCCCCCCACCAGTCCTTGTAAAAAACCATAAAACCTGCATTCGACACCAAATCTAGATCATGCGCGGACGCCCAGTGATCACTGCGCATCGGTTCTTGGCAAGGACGGCGGGGGGGCAGCATATCCCCTGGAGGGCGGAGGAGGAGGAGGAGGAAGAGGAGTGAGGAGGAGGAGGAGGAGGAGGAGGAGGAGGAGGAGGAGGAGGAGGAGGAGGAGGAGAGGGGAGGGCGGAGGAGGGAGGAGGAAGGCCTCCGCCTGCCGCCCGCGAGGCCGCCCCGCCCCGCCCCGCGCGGCTTCGGGCGCCCGCCCCGCCCGCCTGCCGGCGCCGCCGCCGCGGGATGCACCCCGCCGCGGACCTCGGCGGCAGAGGAGCGGTGTCGGCGCGGCCGGCGGAGAGAGCGGCCGACGCTCCCGCCCGCGCTGCGGCGATGGACAGAGACAGGGAGGGGGTGGGGGGCCACTCTGGTCCTCATCCCTCGTCCTCATCCTCCCCCCTCCCCCCAGGTCCTCCTCCTGCTCCTCTTCTTCCTCCTTCTCCTCCTCCTCCTCCTCCTCGTCCTCCTCGTCCTCCTCCTCCCTCCCCCCCCCCTCCTCGCCCTCCTCGTCCTCCTCCCTCCCGACGAGCATGGTCCTCATCCTCCTCGTCCTCCTTCTCCTCCCTTCTCCACCTGTGACGCCCCTCGACGCCGAGCCGTCACCCTCAGGCACAAGCACAGGAAACGGCAGAAACACAGTTTCTTGGAGATCCGCGCGGACCTTCGGAAATTGCACAACTGAGGGGCAACGACAGGATGGGGACTGGCATAGGGGGGAAACAACAACCTGGAATCGGCGATACATCCCCGATAGATCGGCGATAGGCCCCTGGTAGCATATCCGTACGCTCGTGCGCAGCGTGGGGCTATCAGACCCTTGCTCGGCGATGCATGGGCGATTGGGGGTCGATGCATCCGCCCCATGCCTATCCCCCCCGATCGTTGCCCCTGAGTAAGAATCGGGTTGGCTACGGCGGGATCGTGTCGTGTCGACCCCGGCAATGGGGTCGCTGGCGGCGTTCGACGTTGAATGCCGTCGGCGGGGTCCTCGAGCTCATCTCAAGCCCTAAGACTGATAAGCCAACATGCGATGGCAATCTTAAGGATGCGCCCTCAGAAACAGAGGGAATCCGTACGATCAGCACCGATGCCAATCATAGGTTTTTTTTGGTACGTTCCAGGCTGGTGCTTGGTCTGACGGGGCCGCCAGGAAAATAACGAGACCTGGTTTGAAACCTGGCGCGGGCTCCCGCCGCAGACATCCCACGCACAAGAACTGCCTGGGCCGTATAATCTATTGCAGAAAGTGTGATGCTCGCCCAGCAGACGTGTGTCAGACGTTGTCGTCGTCTTCGCCGACCCCGGTCAGTGCAAGCCCGGGACCTGTCGGGCATGGCAGGGCCCTGCAAGATCCTGCAGGGTCCTGCGCGCGAGCTCGGGTTTCTACAGCCCTGGCTTCGCAGGATCCTGCAAGACTCAGCGCTCTGGCCCACCCCCGTTTGTCGAGCAGGGGATGGACTGTAGAATTGGTAACCTCACAGTTTTTGTTTCCGTCGGACCTGCGCAGATGTACGCAGACGTCCTGTAGATCTCCGGGGCATTCTGCACATGTGCTGTAGACTTGACGAACATTTCGAATGTGGGAGGCCAGCCCGCGCCCCTGCTGACCATCGATCTTTGGAGCGGCAGGGGGTCACCAGTGGAGCTTCGTTCGGGTCCGCTGGAGGCTTCGGAAGCTCCACTGGCGACCCCCCCCTTGGCCCAAATCGATGGGCAGCGAGGGTCCGGCCATCGTGCTACCAAAAGGTTAGCGGACAGCGTACCAAGGAACGGTCCGACCATCGGAGCCCCTCCTGAGTCGACGGCGATCCTTCTCTCAGCGCCTTGACTGACCGATGGGGGTTCTTTTCGCTCGTGCCCGCTCGAGACTTCTGAATCCCCACTGCCGGCACCCCTCTGGCCTAAGCCCACGGGCAGCAGGGGTACGAGTACGATTAACACATGCCTGTCCATCGCCTGCGTAATTCGCTCTAGTCGGCAACGTTGCTCCGGCTTGCCGCTCCAAACAAATCCCCAGACCCCTGAGGCCTCAGGGGTCCATCCTAATCAGACTTTCTAGCTGCTCCCAGCATTGATGATAAAAGGGGGCCCACACACGCCAGAAAACTACGGAAAAACGGAGGAGTGCTTCGTTCGGCAGTGCCTCTCGACTGGGCTGCTGTTTGTTGTGTAGAAGTCTGTTCTGGATTCAGCGCTCGTGGAAAGCTGGCAGCCCGTTTAAGCTCCTACTGACAGCCTGACGTATTGCTTCTGTCGACCGCGATTCCTCGCGCGTTGCGATATCTCCTCGTTTTCGTTGCAGTGGTGCGCGTTGGAAAGTGAGGCTTGCGTTGCGCGCGCCACCTCGTCCCGTTGCCAGCGGTGACGAAGTACGCTACGCGTTCGTGCCAAAATGCATGATCCCTCGCTTCTTCCTGAGCACGGCACGTACCAATGTCCACGTTGAACTTGAAAGCGGCTGGGGGTCTGCGCTGGACAGGCCCGAGAAACTCGGTCAAGAGGGTGAGCATCGTTTAATGCATTCCTACCCCCACGGGCGTGGCCTGGGCCCCAGTGGCCGGTTTGCCGCCATAAATGGGGATATAGGCTGCTCCCTTCGAGTTTCGAGGGGCTGGTCCCCAAATGGGGCGGTGGGATGGTGAGGGTCGGGATGGGGATGGGCATAGGGATCGGTTACATGATACTGCGAGGGGAGGGACGAAGGCGAATGGGTTGAAAATCGGTCCCTGGACCCCTCCTGCAGTCGAAGCCGACCAGTTGTTCGAGACGCGCCCAGGCGCGGCGACGAGGGGGGCACTCCTCTCCGGCAGTGCTCTATTCCCCGGTTCGATGGCCAAAAC